CTCAATAGACTTAAAAAAATTTTAAATTAGAAACTAATGGTTTCATATAAAGCTGGAGCTGTTGATGAGCCAGTAGGAGGACTAGCTGCAGTAATGGTGTGTCTCTGAGGTAAAGAATATGCCACATTCTCTTGTACATTAACAATTGAATCAATTGCTGCATATGCTTCATTAGATACTGAAGGAATTGATGCTATATTACCTAAAACTGTTGCTTCTTTTTCACCAGCAGATTCTGAAACAAAACAAATAATGTAAATAATAAATAAGTATATACTATCATACTTTTTCTAAAGAAAAGATACTGTAAAACAATAATAATGATGAGTATCATAACTACTATCAGTAATATAAATATACTGATTGTTATACCAGCAATAGCACCACTTGATAATCCTATAATTATGAACAAAAAAACTGAAAAATAAGAACAAGAAATTAACCTGATCCATCAACAGTTTGAGGTGTAGTGGTAGGAGTATTAACAATAGAAATAGTTGCAGTTGATACACTATCAGTAACTGATGTAGTAATGATAGATACAGTAGTACTGAATACTGCAGCAATGTAATGTATTGTAGTGACACATTAAAATGCAAATAATATACTCACTTGGATCAATAGTCAAGACTTGAGGTAAAATAATAATACCTGAAGCACCATATTGATTGATGGCTACTATACCGACTGATACCGACCCACCATTAGGTATACTAATATAAATATCAACAGTATCATTAGCCTGATAATTATTGAATTGATGTGTAGTAGAACTTATAGATCCGTCAGATGTGTTAGTAATATTAACAATAAACCTGATATTAATATCACCAGGATACACTGTATGTACTCTTAATACTAGTAAACCAGGAGATGTTACATTATCAGTAATCACTGGAGATGAAGGAATGCCTACAGAAAGAGGAGATAAAATAGTCTATCAACAATTTAATAAAATTTTGATTTTCTAATTTTGAGCTGTATCTGATCAAAATTAAACTATTGATGAATTTTAAAGGGTCTTTGACCAAATTTTGTCAAAAATGACAAAGAAAAATTTTCAG